AGAGATTTATTATCCTCCATTTAAATTTTTCAGCTTCTACGCGAACGATAACGAAGAACGTCCTTTAATTGAACCAATTGATTTAAATGAGAAAAGCCTTCAGCAAATGAGAAAATACTTCTCTTGTCTATCTCTCTTTCAAAGTAAAAATAATTTTTTCAGTGGGAGAAAAAGTACGTACTGCTACTAACATGCTTTCCTTTAAGATCGTATTTCTCGCAACATTGATGAATCTTAAAAAAAAAAGACATAAAGAAGTAGGTTCTATTGCACGAATCGTAAATTCCGTAGAAATTTGCAATTTGCGTGACCGTATATCGCGAGTATCCTCACATTTTGTACGGTAAAGGCAGAATCCATCGTGATTCGCTAGATTCCGCCAAAAGGCTGTTATCTCCGAGAAGAGTATTCGGGAATATTCGGAACGTTAAGCGTTAAACGCGGCTTCTCCTCGCGGAGCTTTTTCGCGTAACCGACAACGCGGATAAATTTAATGCGACGTAATTGCGGCGGAAATATTCGGCGATGATCTATCCCGTATTTCGCGGCTGTGGAAACTTGCCAAAGCGAAAACCGCATCGACGTCAGGCGAAGTAACGTCGATCTTCCGACATCCCGAAGGATTCGCGTCCGACGCGAGCGAACGGCATCTCTCGCGCGGCGTCGAGCATTAGTTAAGTCTTCCGCCGAGCGCATGAATATGCACCGCGTATCGCTCATAATTACGCGCTTCCCCCGACGAATCGCGAGTCGATTTTATCTCAACGAAATCAGACGCCGTTCTCTCGTTGTTCATGCGCGAAAGTTGCTCCCGTTGCGACGCCCGAAAAGGAAATTTCGGAATTAGACGCTCCGTCGCAGTTCCTCCCCCTTCGAGCGAAAACAATTCGCATTTTCCGCGTCCCGTCATTATCGTAAATTGTGACGTTATTGTTTCCTTCATCGCGCCGAGGGAGAGCATTTTTCGCATTTGAGCGCGAGATGCAACCGCGTTTTTCTCGGTGCGCGGAACAACCGCGGCGACTGTCGCTTTTTCCTTTCGCCGCTCGACATCGTAGTCGTGTACTGATCCTTAATAGCACTCACGAGAGAGACGTATGGCGGAAGTTATAATTGGGGCATACGCCGCATATGTTAGTCGGTTTGTCGAGCTGATAAAACCGTGACCTACGATCTCGCTTGGCTTCCACTCTCATCCGTCCGTTTTATTGCCCTTCCAAACATCTCGCACGACTGCCTTACTCCATCATGTTTAAATTGTACGATAAAAGAACATTTCTATATTAATTCTGTCCTTTTAACACACAATACTACTAGTTAATCGATAATCACGATGTCACTTAAACATTTTGTATCTGTTGAAAAAAAATATTCACTCATCTCGCTTCTTCTCGTTCGCATGTGTGAGTAAAAAATCTTGACTTTTTTGCTCGGATAAATAAAAGAAAATAAATGTTAAATCATCAAAGATTCTCTACGGTTAGAAATGGCATAGGACGAAATCCCGATCCACGTAAAGCTTATGATGAAATTGCTATCTCTCGAAACTTCCAAAACCGTAATCGAAAGTCAAACCGTAATCGCCACTTTTACGAAGCCCCGAAATCTCTTTCGCTTCTCTTGCAACTCGCCGAGACTTGAATGTTACCCGCCCGTTGCAACATCGCCCACGTTGAAATCTAGAAGTTTGCACCTCGACGCCTTCCATCCTCATCTCTTTTCATGCCATCTTTTTATTGCTAATTTCTATTCATGAAATACGCTCCCTGTGCCATTGCCATGGGAACAATCGGTAAAAGAGTGACAGGGAGAGAGAGAGAGAGAGAGAGAGAGAGAGAGAGA